CATATTTTGGACAAAGAATTTCACATTTAGATATATTTTTAATATTATCTATAGATATACTATTTCCAAAGGTAGCTTCAATAATAGATCCATTACAAATCATTTCACAGGGGATTTCAATAATATCCGTGCCTAAATGAAAACTGTTATCGAGTTTGCCATCTCCAAGTTTTACTAACCATTCACTATAAGCAGAATCCTCTGATCTCATATTTGTTGTAAGAGACAACTTTCTGAAACATTCCCAAACATTACAATACTTTAAACTCGTTTGTACTATGACTCGCATAGTAGCATGCGGTACAATACTGAGACACTGTCGAAAATCTCCTCCAAGAAGGAGAACTTTCCCACCAAATACAACATTCATATTTCTCTTGGTAATCTGTCTATGGCATTTATAGCATGACTGGATGCCATGGTGCATTCATCAATAATGAGAAGTGGGCCTTTTTATAGTTTTAGCAACTTCACTGTTTATATCGAGTCTAGAAATTGAAGTTTCATTTAGTGGAATGAGTAATTTATATTGGGAATGAAAGGTGCTTCCACCGAGAAGTAAATTTGCAGCAATTCCTGTAGACACTGTGGGTAAAACAGTACTACCACGACCTCTAATATAATCTATTAAAACTTTATAAAGATATGCCTCCACGCTCCGAGGGCCAGTTCCTGCCTCAAACCTCACCCTTGCGGGAAACAGCTCCAGGAAACAGCTTGGGGAGGGCACAGCCGTTGCCAAGACAACCCCTGCAGGACTGACTTCCTTCTGGTTGGTCGAGCCTCGGTTGTGACGTTACACCCATGGTTTTTATATAAATAGATGTTTCATTTCTCTTGAATAATTGCTGAGGAGTCGATTTCTTGGGTCATAAGGTAGGTGTATAAAAAACTTTACAAGAAACCACCAAACATTTTTCCAAAGTAGTTGTATCATTTTTCACTCCTGTCAGCAATAAATGAGACTTTCCAACATTGGTATTTGCAGTCTTTTTAATTTTTGCCATTATAGTGGATTTGTGATGGTATCTTGTTGTAGTTTTAATTTGCCTTTCCCTCATTAGTAACATTTTTGATCACTTCTTTATTTTTTCTTTTGTGAGTGTCCAAATCTTTTGCTCATTAAAAAAAAATTGGGGTACCTTTCTAATTGATTTCTGAAAGTTTTCAATATATTCTGAATGAGAGCATTTGTGAAATAAATGTTTTACAAATATATTCTCTCAGTCGATGGCTTTCCTTTTCCTTTTCTTTTTTTGTTTGTTTTTTTTTAATCCTCACCTGAGGATATTTTTCCCATTGATTTTTTAAAAAATATATATACTTTAAAAAATATATTTTATTGAATTCAAAGAGGAAGGGAGAGGGAGAGAGAGATAGAAACATCAATGATGAGAGAGAATCATTGATCGGCTGTCTCCTGCACGCACCCTACTGGGTACTGGGGATCAAGCCTGTGACCCGGGTATGTGCCCTTGATGGGATTCAAACCTGGGACCCTTCAGTCTGCAGACTGATGCTCTATCCACTCAGCCAAACCCGCTATGGCTCCCATTTATTTTTTAGAGAGAATGAAAGGGAGGGGGAGAGACAGAGAGAGAAACATCGATATGAGAGAGACACACCGATTGGTTGCCTCCTGCACATTCCCTGACTGAGGCTGGGGATCAAGCTGACAACCAAGGTATGTGCCCTTGACCAGAATCCAACCCAGGATTCCAGACCAATGCTCTATCCACTGAGCCAAACCAGCTAGGGCTCGTTTTTATTTTCTTAACCATGTCTTGTCAGGAGCAGAAGTTTTAAATTCTGATGAAGTATAAATTTATCCAATTTTTAAATGGCTGTTTACTTTCTGTGTCCGAAGAAATCTTTGCCTCTAGGTTGTGAATCCTAATTACTTTTTAAAAATATTTTTATCGATTTCAGAGAGGAAGAGTGGGGGAGATGGAGAGATAGAAACATCAATGATGAGAGAGAATCATTGTTCGGCTGCCTCCTGCACACTCCACACTGGGGATCTAGCCCGCAACCGGGCATGTGCTCTAACTGAAATCGAACTGTGACCTCCTGGTTCATAGGTCGAGGCTCAACCACTGAGCCACGGCGGCCGAGCTACTTTATTTTACTTTATTTCTAGGGGAGGGAGGGAACAGAAGTACAGAGAGGTTAAGTACCAAGTACTTAAATTAGTGCTGGAAGCAAACAAACAAATTTTTCCTCTTTAAACTCAGAAGAGCAGGAGGCCAAGCAGGCTTCTTTGGTGATCAAATGAAGGACTTTAAAGGACATCCGGGAGGTTGGAAACAAGAGCCGTGACTGAGGTTCTCAGGACTTCAGTCTCAGGACTTTCAAGCTGAATAAACCCCGCACGTAGCTAGAGCCTAGAGTAGAGTCACCAAGGCTGAAATTGCTTGCAATCTCAGCAGACCCAACAGAGCAGCCCTGCCCCTTCCCACAGCAGCAAGAATTTGGGGGAATGCATTCAAGGGTGCCAGTTTGCCAGTTTGGAAGTCTGCATGTTATCTGAGTCACGTCTCCAAGGAAGAGTCTGCTGAGGAAGGCCGTTTGCAGGGTGTGGTTCCCGGAGATAGTTCCCCAATACAGCCAGGATGAGTGGAGTACCCCTCCCACCGTATTCTGTTTCTGTTTCTTTCCTATTTTTTTTAAACAATCATTTACTTTATTTTTAAAATTCATAACATTTAAACATCAAAATTTTGAAAAAGTATATAGTGAAATATATCCCTTCCACCTTTGCATTTCACAACAATTAACCCACTGTTACTTTTGAGAAACTTTTTAAAAAAATATATTTTATTGCTCTGACCGGTTTGGCTCAGTGGCTGGAGCGTCGGCCTGTGGACTCAAGGGTCCCAGGTTCGATTCCGGTCAAGGGCATGTACCTTGGTTGCGGGCACATACCCAGTAGGGAGTGTGTAGGAGGCAGCTGATTGCAGGCCCCACACTGGGGATGGAGCCCACAACCCAGGCATGTGCCCTTGACTGGAATAGAACCTGGGGCCCTTCAGTCCTCAGCTGATGCTCTATCCACTGAGCCAAACCACCTAGGGCTCCTTTAAGAAACTTTTAATGCATCTACAAGATAATACAAATATGTAGTATTTCCCCCCTTTTTAATATAAATGCTATCTACTATATACACTGTTCTGCACCCTGCTTTTTTCAACCAGTAATATGACTTGGAGAGCTTCCTGTATCAGTACACACAAAGATATTTCTCATTCTTTTCTGCAGCTGCATAGTATTCCACAATATAGATATTCTGTAATTTATTTGATCAGGTCCTTGTTGATGAATATTTATTTAGCTTTCCAGATTTTTGCTCTTTTGTTCAAACACTGAAAAAGCTTGTACATAAATCATTTCGCACACCGGCAACTATAACTGTAGGATAAATGTCTAGAAATAAAGTTGCTGAGTCAAAGAGTGTGTACATATGGAATTTTGGTAGACACTGCCAAATTGCCATTCCTGTTGCCTAATAGTTCCTCGATGCCTAATTATTAATCATTTAAATTTTTACCAATCTGATAATAATGGTACTTCAGTGACTTTTCATTTGAATTAATATGATTATGAGTGAGAATGAATATTTTTTTATATGTTTAAAGGACATTTATATTTCCTTTTCATTTGTACATTTTTATTGAGTTTTCATTTTATCATTATTAGGAGCTTTTTAATTTTAAATATATTTTTATTGATTTCAGAGAGGAAGGAAGAGAGAGAGGGAGAGAGAGATAGAAACATTAATGATGAGAGAGAATCCCCACATGGAGATCAAGCCCGCAACCGAGGCATATGCCCTGACCCGGAATCGAACAGTGACCTCCTGGTTCATAGGTCAATGCTCAACCACTGAGCCATGCTGGCTGGGCTATTAGAAGCTTGTTATATGTTATACCCAGCATCTTTTTTGAAAAAATTGTTTTATTGATTTCAGAGAGGAAGGGAGAGGGATATAGAAACATCAATGATGAGAGAGAATCAACCATTGATTGGCTGCCTCCTGCATGCCCCCTACTGGGGGAAATCGAGCCCGCAACCTGGGCATGTGCCCTGATGGAGAATCGAAATGTGACCTCCTGGTTCATAGATTGATGCTCAACCACTGAGCTACACCTGCTGGGTTCAATATCTTTTTGAAGTCAGGTGTATTGACTAAGTATTATGTATACTAAGATTCACCTTTTAATAGAGCTGTCCTTTGTAGGTGAAAGGCCCTCCAGCAGGGGGACTATATATAGGCGATTTGAGGCACTGTCCTTAATTTAAAAACTCCAGCTCATCAATTGCAGTACGGGAGTTACTGGGAGCCAGGTTACACTCAGGCCAAGATTTTGAAGGTCTCAGATGTACATGCAGTGTGTTCAGTGGAAAGAGTGTAAGCACTGGACTCTGAATTTCTGGGTTCAAATCCTGTCTTTGCCATGTGGTTTTGTTTTTTAGGATTCCACATATAAGTGAAATCATATGTTCCACTTCTTGGTATTTATGTGAAGAAAATGAAAGCATATATTTGAAAAGGTATCAAATATATGTTAATATCAAGTTCTTAATATCACTTCTTTGGGTCTCAGGTTCCTCATCAGTAAAGAAAACCTAAGGCCCCATCTGGGGAGCTCAGTTGGTTACAGTGTCATCCCAATATTTGGCTCTATCCGCTGAGCCAAACCAGGGCATTTAGATCTAAAATGCATTGTGTTTGAATTCCAGTACCTCAAGCTATTGCTTTGACTTTGGGGATGTTGCTTAACCTCTTTGTGTTTCAGCTTTCTCATCTGTAAAATGGAGACAATAAAAGTACCTACTTCATAGGTTCATGGCTGTGAGGACTGAATAAGATAGTTTTCATAAAGCACTTAGCACAGTAAGCATACTTAAACTGGTGGATAGTATTGGCGCCGTCATAAGAATTGATACTAAAAACACAGGTCTCTTGAATTCCATACCCATGAATCCTTCCAGGCCTCTTCATGGCCACATAAAAGATGAGCTATGGAACTCAGAGGCATCTTTCCTCTCCCGTCGAATAAGAGACTTGAGGCTCACTTTGCAGACATCATTGGCTGCTGACTCTTCTACCTAGTCAATAATACTGTAATAACTTTGTACAGTGACAGATAGTTACTAGACATATTGTGGTGACCACATTATAAGGTATATAAATGTAGAATCACTATGTTGCACACCTGAAACTACTATAATAGTGTATGTCAACCATACTTGAAATTTTGAAAATCCAAAACAACCCTAAAAAGATAAAAAAGAACTTGCTCCCCTGGCCCTGGGGCTTTGGCTTTTCCCGTTCCCATCAGTGAACTCTCTGTGTACTGTGAGGGAGGCAAGACAATGACAGCAGACCTGAAGAATAATTATTTCCCCCGCTACTCCACCAGGCAAAAACGAATGGGCTGTGCTGCCATCCTATAGGTGCCAGATGGGCATCCTCAGTGTGCCCCAGTGTTGCTCTCACTTGCTCAGGCTAGGTGCCAAAAGCCTTGTCTCCAGGCACTGGCCTTGGGAAGCAGCAGCTAGGTCAACTCTCAATTGCAGGGTAGAGTGCGATGAAGATTGGGTGAAGTCCTCAGCAGGATTCCCATTCCTCTCACCAGCCACGGTCATGAGTTCTCAGCCACAGCTAGTTCACACCCACCTGGTGGCCTGGTGGCAGCTTCTACAACTGGCCCTATGTCCTGCTGTTGTTTCCAAATACAAAGGTCAAGTTTTAGCCTTCTCAGTCCCCTTCATGGCAGCGAGGTCTCGGTTCAAAAAGAAAAGTTAGGAAATAGATCACAATGGTCTGATCCTCCCTAGTGAGCCATCTATCCACAGAGGAGCCCCCTCTGAGCTGGAAGTACAGCCGGGAGTGCAGAAGCAAGTCCACCTCTGGGATTCAGCCTCTCCCCAACATTTCAGGGCCCTGCGGTCTGGAATTGGAATTAAGAACTATAGACTCTGAAGAGTGCCTAAAAGGTAGAAGAGTCAGCAGCCAATGATGTCTGCAAAGTGAGCCTCAAGTCTCTTATTCGACGGGAGAGGAAAGATGCCTCTGAGTTCCATAGCTCATCTTTTATGTGGCCATGAAGAGGCCTGGAAGGATTCATGGGTATGGAATTCAAGAGACCTGTGTTTTTAGTATCAATTCTTATGACGGCGCCAATACTATCCACCAGTTTAAGTATGCTTACTGTGCTAAGTGCTTTATGAAAACTATCTTATTCAGTCCTCACAGCCATGAACCTATGAAGTAGGTACTTTTATTGTCTCCATTTTACAGATGAGAAAGCTGAAACACAAAGAGGTTAAGCAACATCCCCAAAGTCAAAGCAATAGCTTGAGGTACTGGAATTCAAACACAATGCATTTTAGATCTAAAGCTGTGCTCATTGACACTATATGATATTATTCCTTGATGAAGTTGTCTTATCATAGTTCTTACCATAGAATGCTATAAGTCTTTGTTTCTATTTGCCGGGGCTGACCAGCAGTCCCTGAGTGACGGATGAACAGATTACTCTGACACATGTTTCTGTGAAAGAGAAGCTAAGGGGCTAATTTGCTTTAGGACAGTGGTTCTCAACCTTGGCTGCACATTAGAATCACCTGGGAATCTTTTTAAAATCCTGATTTCTGGGCTTCATCCTCCGGAAATTCTGTTTCTTTGTTACTAATGTTGTGGCCCCACCCCATAACAAAGAAACAGAATTTCCGGAGGAGGAGGCCCAGAAATCAGGATTTTGAAAAGATTCCCAGGTGATTCCAATGTGCAGCCAAGGTTGAGAACCACTGCTTTAGGAGCAAATAGCCCTGATTGCCTGCCTCATTAGCTTTCTATTGTTAACAACAGCTTGAACTAAAATTGACCTCTAGATATAATCAGCAGCACAAGTATCCTTGAGAAAGCACATGCTTCTACAAGGTCAGGTCTTTAAAAACTAAACATAGAGATTCTAGCAAAACACCAGGGGGATCAGACTTGCTTGGAAAAGTCAAGGTAGGGGCTGCGGCCTTCAGCAAGGTCCCCTCAGAGGCCCCGACCTTTCGGAGAATCCTCCTTACAGACATCCCAACCGAGTCCCGTGCTTCCCCAAATCTATTATTTTAAACTAGAGGCCCGGTGCACGAATTCGTGCATGGGTGGGGTCCCTCTGGGTGGCCTGCAGGGATCGGGCCAAAACCCGCAGTCCAACACCGGCTGCAGCTCCTACCTGCCGCTCCTGCTCATCCCAGCCCCACTGTGCCTGCTGCGGGCTGCCGCCCAATCAGTCCTGATCAGGAGAGGCTTGCGCTGCCATAGCAGCGCTCGCCAGCCATGAGCCCTGCGTCTGGCACCCTCACAAGGGGAGTGACCTGCGAGATTGGGCTGAAACCTGCTCTCCGACATCCCCAGAGGGGTCCCGGATTGTGAGAGGGCTCAGGCCAGACTGAGGGACCCCACTGGTGCACAATTGGGCTGGAGAGGGACCGCAGGAGGGCTCCAGGACATGTTCGGCCCATCTAGCTCAGTCCTGATTGGCCGGACCTCAGCAGTAAGCTAACCTACCAGTCAGAGCATCTGCCCCCTGGTGGTCAGTGTACATCATAGCGACTGGTTGACCAGTTGACTGCTCCCTGGTGGTAAGTGCACGTCATAGCGAGCAGTTAAGCAGCCTTAGCATATTATTAGCATATTACGCTTTGATTGGTTGTCCTGCCATTCGGTCTATTTGCATATTACCCTTTTATTATATAGGAATATTTTAATTTTTTTATTGTGGGAGAGCGTTTGTTGCCTAGCTTCCTCCACGCTGCCGCTCTCTATGCAGCATGAAGTTTCTAATGGGGAGGATTGCTCTGATCCCCCCATGTCACTGCTATGGGCTCCCTACCATTGTCCTCTTAGGGCAGTGGTTCTCAACCTTGGCTGCACATTAGAATCACCTGGGAATCTTTTTAAAATCCTGATTTCTGGGCCTCATCCTCCGGAAATTCTGTTTCTTTGTTACTAATGTTGTGGTCCCACCCCATAACAAAGAAACAGAATTTCTGGAGGATGAGGCCCAGAAATCAGGATTTTAAAAAGATTCCCAGGTGATTCTAATGTGCAGCCAAGGTTGAGAACCACTGCCCTACTGCAAGGGCCAGCCAATCAATGATTCTCTATCATCATTGATGTTTCTATCTCTCTCTCCCTCTCCCTTCCTCTCACTGAAATCAATAAAGATATATTTTAAAAAAGAATAAAAAGAATACATCATAGTTAATGTTGTCTACTTAATGTTGACAGCCCAGAAGGAGACACACAGTATCTGACTGATTGCTCTTAGCATTACTAATGCTAAGAATTACCACTGTTTTAGGGTGGTGGAAGCCTGATAACTTCATTGTGCAGTTAACTTTTCTTTCAGGATCAGGAAGCTTAAACTTGTTAAAGCTCAATTTCCTCACCTGAAATGTGAATAACACGGTTGCTGAGTAGATTAAATAATTAATGCATTTAATGCTCCTGGGTCATAGTAAACATTCAAAGTAGCAATTATTATTATTCCACCATCAGAAAATGTGAAGCAGAATAATCAAAAGCTTCTCCTCCCCAGTTTCATTTTGGAGTCTGATAGACCAGGCTGGAAGTTTGGCCTTGTTGTTAGAACAGGTTATATTTGTGGACAAGTAACTCCTATCAATTTCCTCCTATGTAAAGATAACTACTATTTGGGGAGGGCTTAGTATGTACAGACATTGCACTAAACACTTTACAAACATTTTCACATTTAATTCTTCCTTAAACCCCACAAATCATATGAACTATTATCCATATTATCAACCACTGAGCCACACTATTCTTCAGAGGAGGAAACTGCACAAGCAGCACAGCTAGGAACCCGAAATGGGACTTGAAACTGATTATTCTACTATCTCCTGGGGTCAATGAGGCTCAAAAAAAGAGATGCTTGGGTTGCAGGCTGGATTCCCAGTAGGGGGTGTGCGGGAGGCAGCCAATCAATGATTCTCCCTTATCATTTATCTCTCTCTCTCTCTCTCTCTCTCTCTCCCTTCCTCTCTGAAATCCATAAAAAGATATATATTTTTAAAAAAGAGATGCTATGGAAAATTGTTTGCACCTGGCTTTATTGCTTTAAGCAACCTGTTATTTCTTTGTTGTCACCTTCATAACAAGCTTTCTGTGTTTTTTTAAAAAATATTTTATTGATTTTTTACAGAGAAGAAGGGAGAGAGATAGAGAGTTAGAAACATCCATCAGCTGCCTCTTGCACACCCCTACTGGGCATGTGCCCGCAACCAAGGTACTTGCCCTTGACCGGAATCGAACCTGTGACCCTCCAGTCCGCAGGCTGACGCTCTATCCAGTGAGCAAACCGGTCGGGGCAAGCTTTCTGTTTTTTTAAACCGAACTCCCGCTTTCCCGATTCATTTTTCACCCCACATAGAACTTGGCTCCATCTAACCTACGACATACCGACTTTATTATTCTGTCTTCCCCAACTCAAATGTCAACTCCAGGAGGACAGGGATTTTATTTGTTTTGTCCACTGCTCTCTCCTCAGTACTTATAGTAGTTAGCCTGGCACACAGTGGGTAACTGTTAGATATTTGTCCAGGGAATGAATAACACGCTTCCAGAAGACTCAGGACTCGAGATAAAATAAATGCACGTGGATTGAACCTCGTAGGGACCCTTAGCACTCCGTCTTCCTGTAGGTGAGGGGAAGGGAAGCCCCGCCCCCACTCGGCTACAGACCCGGTGACGCCGTCGCACCGGCGCGGGGCCGACTGATTGGATGACTGGGAGGATTTCTGAAGTCGCGTTTGAGATCTCGCGATTCCGCGGAGTCGGCGCTGGCTGTGTGCGTCATTTCCGGCGGCGCGGTCGCGCAGTGGCCAACAGAGTGCCAACGGCCTGCAGAACAACATGCCGAAGTGAGTGGGGGCCTGAGTCTGGGGGTGTTCGCGGTCACAGTCACTAATTGGGGCCCCGGGAGGGAGTGCAGAGCGGGATCTGGCTCCTGAAGCTTCTAGGGAAGCGGGAGGGTCTGGGAAGGGA